GGAGTAGCGGGTGTCGGCGATCACGCGCGGGAGTTAGGCGGCGGGCGTGCAGCGCAAGGCAGCAGGGCGCGTGCTGGGCAGGCGAGCGAGAGCATAGTCCGCGCAGGACTAGGGGAAGCTGAGGCGGCGTGTGTTGCGTGCGCGCGACGAGGATTAGGCAACGCGGAAGGGCGGCGCGCATATGAGGCGGCCGAGAGCTTATGAGGCGCGAGAGTTGAGTGCTTCTAGAATTGCTTGGTGTGCAAGCCAAGCATTAGTTATTTGGTAGTAATAGTATTTTATTGCTTTGTAGTGTTAGGATTTCTATTATTGCAAGATTTAAGAGATCGAGTATAGTTAGGCTTAGATTTATTTTTGCACCTATAAATACCCCATGTACCTCATCATAATTATATGTCTTGAATTGAGTGTTGAATTGGTGAGCCAATTAAGAGGGGAATTTATGTTCTTACATATGTTTAAACAAGGCCGTTAGAGCGTGTTTACATACAGTGTCGGAGAGAAGGCCTTTAGAGCGTCTTGATGTCACAGTGTCTAGGAGAAGGCCGATAGTGCGTCTGTTAGATACACCTATCGTGGATAAACGAAGGCCCTAGTGCGCGTTTATTCACAACCCACGTATAGATAACAACACGATCCGTCATCAGTCAGCCAGCGCGACTGGCAGCGTGCGCACAGGCCCGCTGATGAAGGATCGGGTGTTACGTTCCCTAGACTTGTCTCGATCACGGCTTCGCCACGGCCTTGCTCTCGACGATAGGTGTGATCGACTCGGTTATTAGCCTAACTCTCTCACGATACTTGAGTTCACTCGGGTATTAGCCTCGCTACACTCTCGAAATAGATCGGGTCTTAGCCTCTCTAAATCGTTGAACTGGCTCGGGTCTTAGCCTCACCAATTCGATTTGTATGATCGAATCTCACGACTCTCAACACACGGTTTCGAACAAACGTTCTTTTCTATTTCATCATTCTTGGACATGAAAAACAATGAGGGATGCTCCCTATTTATAGATCCTAACTATGACTAATTCTAATCTACCTAGGAAACATATTAAAGCAATAAAATATTAAATTCCTAAACATTCTAGATATTATTGTGCAAGAAGGAAACTAAATATCTAAAGTCCTAAATTTACTAGATCTTGATTTTGCTTGGCTTGCACTCCAAACAAATCCCAATCACACGCCCTTTTGCACTTCGGTCGCCTTATACGCGCACGCCCAAACCCTAACCGCCTTAGCGCGCGCCGACCCATTGATGACGGATCGATCTTTTGTCTATACTGGGTTGCGAATAAACGACGCACTGAGGCCTTCGTTTATCCCCGATAGATGTATCTAGCAGACGCACTGCGGCCTTCTCCTAGACACCGTGACTTCAAGACGCACTATTGGCCTTCTCTACGACACTGTATGTAAAGACGCACTAACGGCCTTCGTTTATCACACGTTAAGAACACAAGGTTCCTCCTCAAAATTGGCTCACCAATTCAATACTCAATTCAAGACATAAAATAATGATGGGGTACATGGGGTATTTATAGGTGTAAAATAAATCTAGGCCTAAATCTAATAGATCTTCTAAATCATGCAAGAATAGAAATCCTAAGTCTAGAAACCAATAAAATCCTAAACCTACCAAAATACTAATGCTTGGCTTGCACACAAAGCAAATCTAGAATGCTCCCTAAAATTAAACCTACACTAGAAACTTCGGCCCTTC